ACTTTTTGTCTCCAGAGGATTTACTGAACTTTGGGATTGAGTGTGCAGACTCTGACACTGTGTCTTTACAGGTAGTCCTCAACTTACAAACATTTGTTCAGCAACTGTTTGAGGTTATGACGGTGCTGAACGAAGGGATTTATGAGTGGCATCCGAAGCTATGGCCGTTGCAGTGCCCCTGTGGTCATGTGATCAAAATTTGGGCACTCGGCAACCCACCTGCACTTACGACCGCAGGGGTGCTTCAACTCCCCCCACCCTACCTATCTTCACCCCCCATCTCTGCCCTTTTGGGTGCCCTGCACAGCAGCATTCCTTGGCGGTGGCGGCCGCAGTGCCGAGGCTGAATTAGAGGCCCAGAGCCTTCAGCAGTTTCAGCCAGCCGCCCCTGCCCCCAGGCCTCTCCTTCAGTCCCAGCGCAGCCAGGACCACTGCTGAGGAATGCCGCTTCAAGCCCTGCCCCACTGTCAGCCACCCCAGTGGCACAGCGCAAAGGCCCAGCCGCCCCGCTGCCCTGCATTCCGCAGGCCCTGCCGTGCCCAGGTGACTGTCACCATTCTCCTCCTCCTGCTGCTGACAAGGCACGCCCAGCATGTCTCATGTGAGGCAGCCGCTGGCCGCGCCAGCCCTTCCTCCTGAGGCTGCTAGTGCCCTTCTCCAAACTGCACACGCCGTTCTCCAAGTCACGCACCCCATTCCTGCACTGCTTCGGAAAACCTTTGGAAAGATTCTGAGGTCCCCCAAGGCATCGCAAGAACAGGGCACGCAATTTGGAGGACGGCAGGAGCAGCCCATTCTCACGATGCCTTGAAAGACTTCAGAATCTTTCCAAAGGTTTTCCGAAGCAGCGCGGGAATGGGCCGTGCGATTTGGAGAAGGGCACGAGCAGCCTTGGGAAAAGGGCTGGTGCGGCCAGCAGCTGCCTCGCATAGTGCGTGTGTGTGTGTGTGTGTGTGTTTTCCTGGAAGGGATGATGGAAGAACATCAGGACTGCATGCCCAGAGTATGTATTCCCAGCAGGGTCTCCCAAGTCGTGAAGGTCACCCCAGGTGCCCACTAAAGCCAGCAGGCACCTGCATCGGGCAGCAGCGGTATAGAAAATGCTGGAGGCAGAGGGTCACTTAGTGACAGTGGCAAAGGCACTGATTTATTCTGTGCGGGAGAAGGCAACGATAAACCACTCCTGTATTTTTACCAAGAAAACCACATGGACAGAAAATATAAAATAAAATACCATCATGGAGAAAATCTATCTAAGTGGTTGCTAAGAGTTGACAATGATTTAATGGCACATAATCAATCAATCAATCAGTCAATCACAACATACTAAGCTTACCTCATTCGGTAATAAAAGAGGCTTGTTGGATTCATCACCAAAGAAAGGGGAGTGGTACAACTGCAGGAACACAAAGCTGAGGGGAAAAAAGAACAATGAAGCCTATTGGCTGCATCAGCTCTAAGCCCTTCATATTGCTGTTGGCTTATGGAACAACGCATATGCGTGAAAAAAGAAACATTCTGGCTTCTGCTCAGAAAGTTGCAAAGACCATGAAAAAGGACAATGAGGAGGCAAACTCCCAAAACGTGCACACGCAGCTTCTCACGTTTTCACTCTGTAAATTGCATGAGTGCTTCTCCCAAGGGGGGGGGGAGGTCATTCATAAAACTGCAGATGTGAGCAATTTTTCAGATATTCTTCCTGGCATTTAGCTTTGATGCACCATTCTTCTGGCTCAACCACAGCTGGATCCCCACTAAGTCCAGCCACCCCATCTCAAGGAGGAAACAGCCCAACATTTCCAGGCAGCGACCGCTGCTCCTGCTCTCTGGTCCAGGCCTTGGAAAAGGAAGCTGCGCTCAGCTCTTGCAGAAGCTAGCAGGACCGCCCTGCAGGAAGCGCTGATCCCTCTTATGAACTATCAAAGAGGGGGCACGGGTCCTATACAGATTTTCTTTAGGCCCCTCAATTCTGAGTTATTGTGCAGATGAGAAGAGAGTTATCATTTGCCCGGTTCCCTGGATGCTGTGGGACTCAAAACTACATACAATACACTGAGGAAAGATGTTTACATTCTCTGCAGTTGCATGAGGGCTGTGACTGAAGTGAAACAAAGCTGGGACAGAACAGATTTAGACTGATCCACCCACCCACTGAACCACTGCCCTAGGCAGTCACACAGACTTTTCCAAGATGTTTCCACACATTTCAGGAGATGCTGCTCATTCATACCACCATCTCCTGCAGTTCTCTAAATTTATTTATGTATTTACTTATTTATTTAATCAATTTATATAGCCACCCATCACACCACTCTGGGTGGTGTACAACAAAGCTAAAAACAGTCAATTAAAAATATAAAAATAAAAATAAAACAGAATAAAGGAAGTTAAAAATAAGGGAGCCACCTCACAAACTCCCCCGTCCCCTGGGGTCCCCAGGCCTGCTGGCATAACCAGGTCTTAAGGGACCTCCGGAAGCTCAACAGTGAGGAGGCCAACCTCACCTCATGAGGGAGAAGGTTCCACAGGGCAGGTGCCACGGCAGAAAAGGGCCGCCGCCTGGGGCCCATCGAATGCAGCTCCCTGGGCAACGGAGCCCGTAACGTGCCCTCTCTGCTGGATCTGGTCGGACGGGCAGATGAGACTGGGGAGAGGCGATCCCTCAGATAGCCCAGCCCCGTGCCATGAAGGGCTTTAAAGGTCAACACCAGCCCCTTGAACTGGGCCTGGAAACAAACTGGCAGCCGATGCAGCTCGCAAGGCAGAGGCGTCACGTGTGTTCTACTAGGAACACACATAACTGCTCACGCCACTGGCTTTTGCACCAGCTGAAGTTTCTGGGCAGCCTCAAGGGCAGCCTTCAAGGAAATTCTTTCCTACATTCTGGATGAAGAGCCCAGTTCTGATGGATGCCGAATCTGGGGGGGAAAAGGATTTCCAGCCATATATGTCCCTCACCTTGGGTTGATTCCCGGAACTTTCTCTGCATTGGAGGCAACTGCTGCTCTTCCCTTAAAAGCGTCTCTCTCAATCCTTTTGCCCCGCCTGGAGGGAGCTGAATCAGAGATTGTGTATCCTCGGGGACGGTGGCCAGTTGGGGAGTGGAGAGAAGAGGCAGGGATCCCCGAAGCCAGCCTTGTCCCTCCAGGGGCCTGGTCGTCTTCCCCCTTCCCCAGCCAGCCCCCAGCTGCCTCTCCTTCCAGGTGCCCAGATTGAGACTTGGATTTGACCTCGCTGCTTAGTTTCTGGGCCAGCTCTTCACCACCCGGATCCTTGAGAACTTCCTGCAGAGTCTGAAGCTCTGGAGATGAGCTGGATTTGCTGAGGGTCTGGGAGGGCTGGAAGGAGAGGGCTTCAAAGGCCCGGCTGTCTTCCAAGTTCCGGGTCCTTTCGATAGGAATGCCAATGGTGGTCAAGTCTTCTGGTTTGGGGCCTCTCTCCTCTTGACTAGATGTCGACGATGACTGCAAAGGGGGCGGGGAGGAACAGCCACCTGCTTAGGGAGAACCTTTGCAGAACAACTCCACACACAGCAGCAATTTGGCCAGCGGGCTGCTAAATGCTGGCAAAGGAAAACCGCCCATCCTCCACAAGACCACCTCCTTCCTACCTAACAAAAAGGAGCATCTGCACGGACTCTGCCTTTTCCTGCCCCAACTTTCATTTCTTGAAAATGGCTGTCACAGGGAGCAAGAGGCGCAGCTCTGTTTGTGCCAAGTATAGGGAGAAGCACTGAAATTGCCTTGACAGCGCTTCAGCCCCAGTCATTGCGGGAACCCAAATTCAAGCATCCAGCTGCTCTGCCTCAGCCTCTGCCCAGCCAGGGAAGGGAAGCCCACCTTCTTTCGAGGCCATCAGCCCTACTCTCAAACTACTCTTATCATTAGGATGTTTCTCCCAACAGGCACTCACATTCTGCCTTCCAAAACGTGGCTTGAACAACTTACGGAGGCTTCCGAGATGGCAAAATTGACTTGTTTGATTAGGGAAAGGACAATAATCACATTTATTAGTGATTGGAAACTCCTTATGGACTTTTTGCGGAAGAAGGAAAAAATGATTTATGGGTTTGACAATTAGAAAGGGTAGACTATGGAAAGAAGAAAATTATGTTGTAATCTTAGAGAGAGAAGGCAAAATATAAATGTATTTATAACTGCTGTTAAGAAGATCGGAAGCTGCTTCTTTATCATCTCTTCTATTGTCCCCACCACCATTTTCTTTCTCATTTATTCACTATTTTTCTTTATTACCTTTATTTCTTTTCTAAAATTTGTATTCTTTTTATCTTGTTAAAAACTTATATTATATATAATATAATATATTATTATTTACAGTGGCCTCTGTTCCATTTGTGCTTTCCTTTCCCTACTTTTTATAGAGCTTTTTACAGTGACATCTCCTTTTGAGGAGCAAGTCTATCTGCCCCATGAATGCTACCCATACCATAATCAATGCGTTTATCTGATCAGAACTTGCAAATTCTTGGAGTCCTTGAAGCTCTCAGGGACCTCCCGTATCTTGATGGGCCTCTCCCAATCAGAAAGCACCCTGAGCAGCTCTGCCTCAAGGTCACACAGGGCAGGAAGGCACTGTCTTACCCGGCAGTAGGTCCCTCGGCCTCGGCCTAATCTCTCTTCGCCTAGGCCCTGCCCCCAACACACCGCCTCAAAGTCTTCCATCCTTTGAGATTCCGGGCGGAATCCCACTCCCTTGAGATCTGCGTCTGGGGGGCTTCCTTCTTCTAGTACCACTGCAGATTCTGTCAAGAGACGCAAAGAGCAGGGGGTGAAACGTGGACGAACATTTCCTGAGAGCAGGATGTCCTCTTCTGATATTCCAGCCCACCTGCAACTCTGGTGTTTTGCAAACTACCTCCTGTCCACTTCACTGTCAGGCAGAAGACACCCCAGGCTCTGCTTTTTCAAACAACAATTAGAACCATCTAGCCTGTTCCTCTTACAGACATCAGAGGAGCAGCTCCAGTATACCAAGCAAGAAATGCAAAGTCAGTCCAGTGTTTTTCATAACAACTTTACCCAAAGTATATCACATATAGAACCCTGTAATGACGCTGCCCTTACAACAGTCTTATCACAGAGGCTTTATTAGGAACCCTACACTGCTGAGGCCCGGAGAGGGAAGTCTGCCTAGGACCACCCTCGGCTGCTTAGTCCAGAGCAGGATGAGACTCACACAAGAAGTTCCTGAGCTCCAACTCCATTCCTGAGCCATTTTGCTCTTTGTATGAGGGTCGTCATCTCGTACAATATGCAGATGCACGAACAGAAACCGAGACGTCTGCACAAAGTTTTCACCTTATTGAGATGTCACTCACTAGCTGTCAAGGATACTGTGCCCTTGAACCAACAAGTGGAAGGAAGGGCGGGTGGCTCTGTGGCCTGCAAAAAAGGATGGATTATGGGATGCTGCCCCAAATGAATCTATGCCGGGCAAGTCCAAAGGCAATTTCTTTTCCAAGGTATTTTTTAAAGAGATTTTTTCCTACACATAAAAGAAGTTAACAAAATCAGCAATGGAGGAAAAAACCCACTGACTCTGGGGACAGTGGCTGAAATTTGCAGTAGCATATTTCAAAAATAGTTATTTCAGAATTAGCGTTAAACCATACATCCTTCCTTCCTATGTGCTGATCTACTAAACCGTTGAAGCCAGAAGACTTTTGCCCAACTTCATAAATGCTCCTGATTAGAATCCCTGTTTTTCAGCAAATGGTTTTATTACCGAGTATAGTTGGGACTGGCGTTAGGGTGACGGGAAAGACAAGATAGGCTTTGCCCTAATTTTCTGATATTATTTTAAAACAGCAGCAAAAGCTTGAAACGGGCTTGACCACGCCCTGAGCATCCCATACACAGGACTACCTGCTCTGGCACGGAACGAGGACGCCTGACAGGTACCTCTCTTTCCACGTCTCGGTACGTTTTTGAACACCTTTGCTTTCGATTGTTATATTGCGAGCTTTGCAGCCTGAGACTGGAGCACAGCTATTTGCATAACAGAACAAGAAGGTACGACTGAGCAGTGCAGAAAATGGAAGGGAAATTAAAGTGGCAAGAAAAAGCAAAAGGAATGGCAGGTTTTGCCCTTTCCGAGCACTTGCCCGGCCTCTTAAGCTTCCGTGGGCCACAGGCCAGGCTTGGGTTGGACACATTTCTCCTCCTTGGTCTTTGCAAATAGAGATGAAGAAGATGACAAGGCAGACGGATGGCTGGAAGGACGGAGAAAAGCCCTGTGTATGAATCCCAACCATGCTTCTTCTATATCGAGTGGTCTTAAGAAACAAAACGAAACACCAAACACCCTCCTTTAAAAGATGCAAGTGTACCTGCCCAGGAAATGCTCCTGTGCAGCCTTCCTTGAGAACTGGTCAGCCCCATGGCAGAGAAAGAGGCCACTGTGAAGGGAAACCAAGGAAGGAGCTACATCAAAAAGGAAGAGAGGAGAGACAGAGACAGACAGACAGACAGACAATGTGGAGAAAAAAATAATAGCAACCACAAATAAATATGTCAAAGCATAGGCTCAGGAGCAGAGATGGATGGACCGCTTCAGTTTCCCTCTAATATTTTCTACCTCTGCAGTGGATGATTTAAAAAAAGGGGGGGGGGAGTGAATTTATACACTACTAAATAACTTTCTCTGACAGAGGGATCTTTCAAGATTTGCCCTATAAATTATAATTTCCTGCTGGGAAAGGCAGATTTAATTTTCCAGTTTCAGGCTTATCCATTATTTTAGCTTTAATCATTGACTGGAACGAGGAATTTCAGGATTTCAAATTTACTCCTCTCTGAGCTCACTGAAACCCTATAAGCATTGTTACCCTTACTTGCTTGAGAATTAGTCCCTAAATATGCACTTAATGCTGCAAAATATTTATGAAAAATACTGTGTTTACAGATAGCCAGTTTATGAATATGCAAAAAAATCCATGGATGTTAGGTAAATTACGACTTTTAGGACATTTCATAATGCTACTACTTTGGATCAACTCAGTTTTGACAAAGCGGTTTTAAAAAAATTTGTAGAACTTAAAATCAATTGGATTTACCTTACAGAAATGTAAGATTTATTGTACCACACTGGAAGTATAAATCTACCTCTGATTCACAGCAATTAATTGTTTAGTGACTTTTCTGAACTTGTTTTATGATACTGTTTTCTGAGGCCTTTTTCTATTACATTATTAACACAGATGTGCATGCACACACACACACACATTTGTGGAGTTCTTTAGTTACTTATTATTATTTTTTAAAAAGCAAGCACAAAAATACATTTTCATATGCTTTTCTCCTGACATGCACATTTTGTACACATTTGACAGTGCAGTTTCCTCTCAAATGCAATGTGTCTTTACATACTATATTTATTACTATCAACGTATTGGTGTGTATACATTGTTGGACCTTATCTGATGGAAAACCTGCATCTAACATTTGGAAATGTATACAGAGGAAAACATGCAACATTCCCAGGGATTACTACAAAATTAAGTAAACATGCATTAAAATCCCGCATTCCTATTGAGGTGCAGTGGTTTTCTTGAAATATATCTGAAGAGAGGGAAGGGTGGGGAGGCAGGAGAAACATCTCACGGCCAAAAAAAGGGAGGCAACTAACACTAACACCAGGCACTAACTGCTCAGGTGTGGATCCTAGACATGGGACCCAGGAGCCAGCGGAAGAAAAAAACCAGCAAAATAAAACAAAGGAGGCTCCTGCAAACCTTGGCAGAAGAAACAGGCGAGGCACTGAGTATGTTTCGACTGATTCTTGTTACAAGCATTGTCAGAGGACAGCTGTGCTAACCTATGACGGCCAAAAATCAGAACAGGTCTGGGAACACCTTTCCCGACTAACACATTTTATTAAAAAGCAGAAGCTTTTAGTCGGAAAGGTGCCACGAGGCTCCTCCTGATGTTGAACAGGCAGCATGTAAGTTTAACGAACTAAGACACTCATTTACAGCCCCTCAATCAGATGAGGCTACATCTACCCAGTGAGACAGGCCAGCAGTCCCCTGCTTCAGAAGCTGAACGAAACGAGCAGAGCCCCCATCAATATTGAAACATGATTTGCTGTAGAACGGAACCAGTTTTGAAAGCTGCAATCCCATTGCAAGCTGAAATACTGTTATTCAATTTTACCAAACCATACATCCTTTCAAAATATATTGACTTGACCGTGTATACAGTATGTTAACAGCTGCAAGGTATGCCTTTTACTGGAAAAGACCTGAGGTTCCCTCTTTGAAGAATGTTTAACTGAACTGTGGGGATATACCTCGATATCTGAAATAACTTTGTTTTTAACAAAAGGTAAATCTGACACAGAATTCAGTTTGAAATGGAAACCATTTTTGGATTATAATCACATACACGGAATTTTAACTGATATTTTAAGCTACTGTATAATTTGTAGCATTATTGGAATGCATGATTTACTACTTGGTTTCTTTGAATGAACAATTAACCAGGTGTTTTTTAACTTAAAGCTCAACAAAGATATATGGATTTTGACCAGAAAACAGATATGAAATATTTCATAATAAGTTTCTAATGATGTATTGAAATCTATTAGTTTTATGTTTGATTATGTGCCATTACCCCTTCATGGATCACTGCCTTGTCGTGGCGAAGGGGCTTGCGTAACTCAGTGAAGCCATGAGCTATACCGTGCAAGGCCAACCCAGACGGACAGGTCATGACAGAGAGTTCTGACGAAATGTGGTCCACTGGAGAAGGAAATGGC